GAAAGTGGGGGAGAACCAGCTGGCTGGGAGGGGGTTGGGGGAAATGGGGCTGGCTGGAGGGAAGGGGGGGGGAGCGAATCGGCCGGTGGGGAGCGGGACTGACCCGGGAGCATGCAGATCTCAGGGCACTGTCCATCCCGCGCACGGTCCCAGTGAAACACGAGTGAGTCTGGCCCCAGGGATTCCATTTTGCCCCCCCTCACACACTCTCCCATGAGTAGTTGCAAACTGTCTGGCTGGTAGACACACTCACGCAGCCTGAGCACATCTACCAGCTACGCAGTTCGCAACTACAAACTGATACACCTCATAATAATGAAATTTTATATGTCTAGTATTTTCTCAATTTGTTTCCCAGACAGAACCCTCAAATACCGGACTGTCCAGTACTAAACCGGACACCTGGCAACCTACCCCTCCTTGCACCCTCCTTCCTAGCCAGATCCCTACCCCCAGACTGCTCCTACTCCCACCTCCCAGAGTGCCTGTGTGACGCTGGGTCCCCCAAGCCCTGGCCCGGGCAGGGTGGAGGATGCAGCCGGGTGAAACAGTGAAAATTTATCAATTTTTCATTCTTTTTTAATATGCGTTTATATTTTTGGGCTGAAAAAAACAGTACTGAAAAAAAACGGGTTCCAACTATAGTAAAAAGTTTGGGAATTCCTGGTTTAGCCAGCTTTCTGTCCATTTTACAGTCCATTTATCCAATCCATATTCCCTTAACTTGCTGGCAGAATGTTGTAGGTGACCATATCAAAAGCTTTGCTAAAGCTGGCACTGGGGGCTTTGGGAGGACCAGAAACAACATATTTGAATATTCATCATTTGCTTGATGAATATGCAAATATATGTTACTGGTCCTCCAAAAGCTCTTGAATGGATTTACTGGTCCTCGTGTCAAAAAGTTTGGGAACTCCTGCTCTAAGCCTATTGCTCCTTTGAGCTCAGTTCCCTTTTGTTAAGTAAGTCTGATCTCTTTGCCATTTGACTGGCTTACTCATCTTACACTGCATTTATTCAATTTTCTTTACTGGAAATAAGCAAATTAACAAACCACAACCTTTAGTTTATTTGTTTCCAGTCTTTCTATTTTTGGATCTCTGAGTCTTCAGCTGATAAAAATTGAAAGAGCTGTTTTTTGTTTGCTAGCAAACGGGGTACTGATGCTGTCAATTTCACCTTTGTGACATTTCTCAGGGTGCTCAAGGCTAATAGTCACCACCTGCCTCCAGCATCAGGGAGTCTTGCATCTATTTAGGGCCATACCGAATTCATAGGCATGAAAACCGATAGATCATGAACTCTAATCTCCCTTGTGAAATCTGGCACGTAGCCAGGGACTCCTACCCTGCACTGAGCTCTAGCTGCTAATCCGCTGGGGATGGGGAGGAAGGAGATTTCCTCTCCCTCTGCAGGGGCCATTCCTGCAATGGGTTAGACCCACCTCTGGGATCCCTTCCAGATACAGAAAGATCAGGCTGCTCCTTGGCCTCTGTTTGTCAGAGGCTGGAGAGGGATGGCAGGAGACAAATCGCTTGATCACTGTCTTCGGTCCACCCTCTCTGGGGCACCTGGTGCTGGCCACTGTCGGTAGACAGGATACTGGGCTAGATGGACCTTTGGTCTGACCCAGTACGGCCATTCTTATGTTCTCCAGCTGTCTCCTCCACCCGCCCACCCAGTCCCCATCCCATGAGGCTACAGTTGAAACTATGACTTTTCTGTGTAGCAAGACTGCAGCCTTAGCTGTCAGCCCCCCACTTGGACAGGAGATTGGCAGAAAAACCAGACCTATGATAACCTGTCCTCCATACCCTGTTACTCTCATTTTTGTGCTGCTGGTGGTGATGCTGGCCATATAGCTGGGAACCCGCTCAGCAGCCTTTCTCTCTGGCCGCCCAACTCTGAAAGCAGTGTCCCTGCCACCAGCAGGGCAGAAGTAAGGGTGGCACAAACCCGACAATAGTCCAGATGGCCATAGTTTCAACACTGTGAAATTTCAGATGTAAACAGCTGAACATTTTAAAACCTTCTGGCTGTGAAATTAACCAAAATGGACCGTGAATCTGGTAGGACCCAGGAGTGTTAACAAAAATCACCCTATCAAATATTCTCCCTCTGAAGACATAAGGAATATGCGCATAAGTCAGCCAGCAATACGAAGTCAGGGCTTGTAACAGAGGCACCCCCACCTTACAATCCTTTCAAAGTGGCTCCTACGGAAGTCCAGCCCCTGATCACACAGAGGTCCCAGATGCTCTGTTCCCAATTGAATAGTGTATCACAGTTTACCAGTTTTACCTTAGGCAACAGCTCCTGTATGACCCAAAGCACTTGAGCTCAATTATAAAATGAAAAGTGAAGTTTATTTAAGGAAGAAGAGAAATTTCATATAAAAAAGTGTGACAGATGGGAATGGTTATATTATATCATCCAAACACGCAAACAAATTTAACTAACCAGTTAGCCTCCTGTCTAAAGAAGCTTATCTTGCCCAAAGTTATGCGTATGCACACTCAGCAGTATTTTTCCCTTTACACTGCAGTCATTAAAAAAGTATTAAAACAATCTAGTACGTGGAGACAATTTATCTAAAAACACAATGAAACAGAAAGCCTGTCTCCTCTCAAAATGATATGCATACTTTTAGCAGGGAGACACTCAGAAAAATCAGTTTGAAAATGTACAAAGGCAGGCTTAAAATATATAGATAGCAACACAGAAATAAGATTATTCATGCCTACTTAAAAGAGATAAATTGTTATTTTATGAAAAATATGACGTTACATTTAAAAACTTGCTTTGTCTTGAGGGGAAAACTAAAAATTTTCAATTCCATGTTGTTGAGAAATTATCTTTTAAGAACACCCACGCTTCCTTATATATTATATGCAAAGTACAGAACATAAGACTGTCCATGCAGTTGTCAAGGGTAAAAAAAAGCATAAAGGGTATCGATTTCCATGAAATACCTATGTACTAACCAGTCTAGACATATGGTAATATTTTAGTAGAAATTATTTGAGAATGTGGAGAGCCTACCTTGAATCATTATCAATAACAGCACCAAGACAAAACCCTCCACTCACAACACGGAAATCAATCGTTATAGGTGACAGAGACAAACATAATTGTAAATATAATGGATGCCAAGAACGCTAAGCCAACATCACTTTAACATTCTCTCTCAGCTCTTTGTAAAATATACATCACCTGTGCACTCAATCTATGAACAGAAACTATATTAATAATTTGGAAGAATTAAGAATTAAAGACTTATATGGCTGAGAAATACTGATACGTATTCATTAGCATTTGGAGATATAATCAATTATTTCTCTCTCTTCTTAAAAGCCAAGAATCACATTTTGCAAATATGTTCTCTTTCAGACTCACCATTTGATTTTATTTCTCGTACATAGTTACTAGGAAACCATCCTGTTTTGCCATTGTGAGTTCCTTCCCACCAGCCTCCTTCTTCCACTCTGGTAACATGAATAATATCTCCTTTTGCAAATGAAAGTTCATCTTCATTGGTCTGTTGAAAACTAAATTTTGCTCTCACCACCAGCTGATGATTGCTGTTATCTGTCATGTCCTAAAAAAGCAAAAATGCAAATGAAGGACAGAACTTTAAGCATATAAGTGTTCTTTCATTACCAATACACATGTCTCTTCATCAAGCACAAACATATTAAAATTAAAACACTATATTTATCAGAAGCTATAAAACAAGACCCGCAGAAACTAGTATGCAAGAGTTCATTTATTCTGCCATTGTATTTCTGTGACTTCTTAGAATCAGGCAAGGCCAACAAAAATAAAATGAAAAAGAAAGATTTATACTATTCAAAAAAATCAGATTCAAGATCTCTGTGAACAGAACTAAGTTTATAAACAGAGAACACTACCAGGAGAGGAAAATGGGCAGTGGGGCAGGGTGTAGGTGGAGAGTTCTGGAAGAAGGGGGTGTGTACTGAGAAAGAGTATTTAGGGTGTTGGAGGAGCACGCGTTGGGCAAGGTTTTTTGGTGGGGATACTTACAGTCTCACACTAGGTGAGGGGCAGTGTCACACTCCCTGTCATGATGGCAGATGGGTGGCACTGGCCTAGGACACAGTACCACCCTATCAGTCAGCACCTCCCTGTAGTGAGCTGGTGGCTGGCCTGAGCACCCCTCCCTGCTAGGCTCTGAGGCCCAGCAGTGGTGCAGGTTGCCTGGCCAAGAGACAGTTGGCAGCTCCATTTACCCAGCAGACTAGGCCAGTAGCTGTGTGGGCAGATACCAGCAGGGGAAGGACCAATCAGAGTGTGGAGGAGAGACAGGGCCATAGCCAAGCCAGGCCAAGTGGAGTACAGTAATTGCCCAGGGTACAATGCAACAGAAGTGGAAAAATGACAGAGACCCAGGGCAGGGAGTTCAAGTATGCTTGCTCACCTGGAAAACTGAAGAGTCTAGCTATGGCTCTCCGGAAATGGGTATTTCTGATCTGGAACAATCAAGGAAAAATCCCAGACATTTCAAGAACCTGCCCAGATGAAGATCAGATGACCAAAAAACAGGTCATGTCTGGGAAAACCCAGATGTATGATAACCCTATAACTACCAAAAAATGTAAGAACTTAGCTGGAAAAATATTCTGTACAAGAGAGAGACCGGTGGAGAGGGCAACAGATAGACCTGAACCAAAATCTTAAAGTTAGACCTATGTAAAAGGTCATATTAGGAGAGTCAGATCTCGAGAGTTAGGATTGAAGTGTTCAAATTCCAGTTAAATTAAGCAAATCATGAGAATTGGGTGTGGGGAAAAAACCCACAAAGATTTATTGGCGGTAATTCAATAACTACGTGATTCATTTATTAAGACAACCATTTTTCAAATATAAAAATAATGGTTGCAGAAGTATTTTTGAACATCCACACTGTATTTTGTTTGTATTAGGTGTAATTTTTTCCTCATTAATATTAAATAGTCTCTGGCTCAGAAGTGTAAGATGTCACTCACAAAAATTCTCTTTTTTTCCATTCTATTTTAATTATTTGGGCAAATGATAGTCACATCCTCATCATATTTTCCTCCTGATTTCTGTGATGGTGTTTTCAGCAAAAACCTGGACACAACGGTTTGTGAGATTTATTTTCAGACACTGACTCAAGCACAGTAAATAGTAACAATATTTGCCGGTATGCTAGATTATAGTCATTAACATGGATGTAAGCAAGTAGTCGACTTGCATAAGCTTATCGGATAGTCAAATGGAGTACTCGACTACTCACATCTCCTCCCCCCGCCTCTGTATGAGAGGCACCAATGCGGGGGAGGAACAGCAACCTTGTCCCCCACCCATGGACAGGGGCTACTGCTGTCAAGAAGCCCCTGTTCATTGCCAGCTCCGGAATGGCTGTACATCTTCATTTTAAATGTAGTAAGTATCACCAGGCTCTTACTACACTTAAAAAGCAGAGCTGCACCAGTCCAGAGCAGGTGCGAGCTGGGACTGCTCAGTCCTGGCTTGCACTGGCTCTGGAAACCACCCCCGCTGCAGCTCTGCAGAGCAGCCCTTATCATCGACTAATCATGTAGCCAATACAAATTGTACACGATTAGTCAAATAACTGCTCTTTAACAGCCTTAGCCATTAACAGATCATATTTTATATTCAACCAAACATCTTGCGTTAGTATCTCCGCTGATTCTTTTCTCCTCTATTTCCTCACTTGCAGCATCTAATAGCAAACCTGCAACTCTAATTGAAGAAATAAATGCAAGTGTTACAATCTTTTTTTAATGGTTTGATTTTGTGCCACATGGAAGACGGTTCCCAGGAGAATGTAGCCAGGGTGGAGGTGAGGGGAACCTAACTTGTTTCAAGACTGATTTTGAAAAGATCATGAAGGGCATAATATGCTGGCACTGCATATAACGAGCATATGGTCCATCCACAGCTGCTACGAGCAAATATCTCCAATGTCTGGTGGCGGAATACTAGATGGGAGAGGGTCTGACTTACTACTGAGAATTTTTTCCCAGAGGTCTGGCTACTGGCTCTTCCACATGGCTTAGGGTTCAATTTATCACCGTACTTGAGGAAGGAATGTTCCCCCAGATCAGATTTGCAGAGATCCTGCGGAGGATGCGGGGAGGGGTCTCCTTTCTCTGTAGCTTTGAGCACTGGTCACTTGCCCATGTGAACTCATGAAATGGTGCATGCTCTGTAATGAAGTCTTTAAGTCAAGATTTCAGGTCTTCAGTAACTCAAGCAAAAGCTATGGGCCTATTATACGAGTGGCTGGGGGAAATTATGTAACCTAGGTATGCGCAAGAGGTCAAACTAGATGCCCACTGTGATGGACTCCCCCTCCCATGGTTTATGAAATGGACTCATGGACATGAATATACATAACTCAAAGGTGGTTTGAGCGAATTATTTCATGTAACCCATCGATCTTCATGTCACGATCTGCTGGTTCTGTTTATCTTACTCTGTTGTATGTATCATTTGTGTGTGTAAAATTAGACACAGGGAGTGGGGAATAATGTGTGAGTTTCAAATGTATGAATGAGAGACATGGAGGGTGTTACCCTCAGCTGTTAAATTACGTCTTTTGTCCTTCAGCCTGAGCAGTGGTTGGTAGGGAATGGCCTCAATCCTTTAACAAAAAGAATAGGAGAGGAGAGGTCTGGGTCTTTTGGCTGGGCTGCACCTGAAGGAAGGGGCCAGGGACCCCAGGGTGTCGAAGAAAGCCCTGGTTTGGAGGGGCAGCTGGAAAAGAGGTCATAGGGTGAGTTTAAGTTTGCACTGATGTTTCAGTGGAAAATTAGCCACGCTGTTTTGTTTCTTTTGATTTGTAACTTACTTTGCTCTGACTACTTTCACTTATTACTACTTAAATCCTACTGCTTCAACTTAATAAAATCATTTGTATTTTCTATCAAACCCAATGTAAATAATTGTTACCTGGGGGGGCAACTAGTGTGCACATTCCCCCTTTCATTGCTAAAGGGGGCTTCCCTAATTCTTTGGGGTTTGATCCCATCTAGGGAGTGCTATCCCAGGAGGTTGGGCCCTAAATTGCACTCTCCTTGGACCTGAGGAGGTTCAGTGTTGGTACTGCTTCCCAGTGGGGGCAAGGACCTCAGCTTGGGGCCTGGGCTGCGGGAGACCAGGGAGGTGGCCCAGCAGGACCGAGCAGTGAGGAGCCCCAGAGAGCAGGAAGGCGAGTGGCAGTGCCCATGTCAGCACCCCAGGAGGCAGTGCCCATGTCAGCACCCTGAGGGGTCGGCTGTGACTACACCTCATCAGAGCCCTGATGGTTCCTTCTTGCTGTAAGGTCTAGGAATTTATGTTATTAGTATCAATGGGCAAAGCTGTCTCACCAAAACATTTGTCTTTCAGTTTTTCGTATAATCATAGAACAATTTTTTGCTCATTTTCTAACATCAAAGACAGACTGCTTCTGAAATAAATTTGTTTAAAGGTTTTTGAAGGTCTGATGGGACTGGGATGGGACTTAAATTATCACTGTAACTATGTTTTAATGACAATAGCATAAAAATCCACCATGAATGTTAGTAAATTGTACAAAGAGCTAATTATGCTCGCCATTAAAAATGTATGTCTTAATTTCGGTTTGAATTTCTCTAGCTTCAACTTCCAGCCTTTGGATCATGTTACACAGTTCTCTGTGAGACTGAATAGCCCATTATTAAATATTTGTTCCCATGTAGGTAACGACAGACTAATCCAGTCATCCCTTAATTTTATTTTTGGTAAGATAAACACAGTGAGATCCCTGAGTCTATCACTATAAAACATGGTCCGGTAGCACCTTAGAGACTAACAAAAATAGTATCATGAGATTTCATGGGCACAACCCTCTTCTTCAGAGGACAAATATGAAGCAAGGGTTGCATAACTGTCATCTGAAGAAGTGGACTGTGTTGTGTAAAGCCTCTGCCCGAGCTATTACCCTTTAAATTGGAGCTACTTGATTGATGCGGTTTAATACATTTCCGGAAAACATAAGGTCCTGCCAACATCACTTAGAGTAGGGCCACTCAACACACAGCTAGGATCCTTTGAACATGGCCTCCACTGGGAACACGGCTCCACAACGGTGAGGTTTCCCCCCAGGCAAACAGATGGGCTGGCTGAAATAGATGGGTACAGAGTATTGGCATTTCTTGCCCCCAGGGAGGAGTGCCGGGGCATTGTGGGAAGTGCTGGCTATTTAGCCTTGTGAGCATAGCCTGAGAGGTGTTGACTAAGGATGCTAAGGACATGCTTAGCAAATGCTTAGCAGATAGCTGAGTCGATTAGTCGCTTCCCCCCAACGTTGCTGCCTCTATTAGACAGAGGCAACAAAAGGGGGGGAGGGAGAGAGGGAGTACTTCAAAGCAGCAGAACCACATGGAGCCCGGTAAGAGCTCTGTGCAGCACTGCTCCTTTGAAACGCTGTGGCGGCATTTCAAAGGGGCAGCGCCACACAGTTGATCCCAGGTTCTGTGAGGCGCTGCCCCCCGGGCTCTGTGGTGACATTTCAAAGGGACAGCGCCACACAGAACCCAGGATCAGCTGTACGAGGCTGCCCCTTTG